TTTCGGTAACTCGGAAACTGAGAAAGCTGGGAACATGGGATTTCGAGGGAACGTTCCCTGTCCAAGTATAGCGTGGATAATTAATTTTCCGAAATTCGAGGACCAGTATGTACAAGAGGTTTCTAGCTAGCGGAACTTCGAATAATGTTGTTACAGCAGGAAGCACTGCAAAAACGCATGATCGCACGGGGCCCCCAGTGCGCGTCACCAATGATTTTATTCCTGTCGCGGCGGGTACTTGCAGATTTTCACTTGGCTGAAGTTGAGAAAGCGACTTCCCTTACCTGACACGGAATTTATAGGATTACATGTATGAAAACATTAAATGACTCCTTGCCGTAACTCCTTCACTGTTGGTGTTCTTCAGTAATTGAGTCGACGTCCACGCCAGCGAATTCCGTCCTGTGCTCACCTCATCCGCAGTACTGCACGCAGTCGAAATTAGCGGATCAGACCAGCGCATCGATGGCCTTCGTGCTGACTTTTTTTAAATGTCTAGGGCGCCAGCTAATAGTGCTTCCCGTCCATTCTTTGTCGGTCATTCTTGCCACGTGATCATCCCAGTTTCTTCTGCCTACAACAAGAAAACCAAAGTTACAAGATTGCCAAAGTGCAGTGGGTCGAAAAGGGTTGATGTACGGTTGGATCTGATATAGTAAAGGAACTATACTGGGAATATGTTAGCATCTAGTGCCCTCAGAGGACGAAAAATTCTCTTACAGGGAAACACACACATTTCTTCTTTTCAGCTAAATCGCTTCTCATCGGTGCTTAAAAATGCCAGCGAATTATACTCAACAGCGGATCAGCTGCTGAAATACTGCTTACCGCGATGCACTTTCAAGCAGTTGGTGGAGGATATCCTGAACGATTCTGGGGGTTCTGGGAATTCGGAAACTTTCAGACTGGTTGCAGACATCTTACAGCGAATCGCCGCCAATACTGCCAGTGCTATTTCCGCATTTGCAAATGAGAAAAAGTGAGTTTTGCTTGTCGGAGTTTGGAAAACAGGTTCAAAAGTCAAGTCAGTCCATCTTTTCTCTTCATCAAAGCTTTCTTTTAAGACAGTACTGAATTTCTCAGATGCCTAGTGTGGCTCGAGCTAAATTTTGTGTACCCTTCAGTCAGAACAATCTTTTTTAGTCTTTTTTTTGTGAATTAAATTGGGCTTTAGCTTCCTGTTCGATTCACTCTCGTGCCAACGGAAAACGGGGATCCTTTCGAACTGTTAATTGTTATTGGTGAGCATGAGCTATCAGCGAGTACTTCAGTTTCCCATTAAAAAAAAGTGAATACTGAGGAAGTCATAACTTTTTTGATTGTTTTTGGCAAAATAGAATCTTCCCGATCATTTCGAGCCTCACATGCAATCTCTCCGGTCATTTATTAAAGGTTTAAAAGAAAATAATGAAGTAGAAAAGATGAGGAAGAAATGAAAACCAAGAAAAAGCGAAATGTGATGGGGAAAGGGAAATAAGGAAATATTTGTAATAGGTAAGAAATGTTTCGGTCCATTAAGTCGTATTCATTTCTTATCGTTACCACAATTGGACTTCCTGAGTACGACGATTATGGCAACAAAATAATTTAGATGGTCTAGTGTGGTATAGAAATTATTTAAGATAAAAACAGACAAGAGGCAGAAGAAATAGAAGTGGAAGGCCGAAAGCAAGGAAATGAAAGAAATGAAAAAGTTATAAAATTATAATTCTTACCTGTTCAGTACGTGTTGCATCCATCATTTGCTTATCTCGTTTAATTATAATACCGACAGACTGAATCGCGTTCTGTAATAAGTAATTACATATAGCTGTACGTAAGTATTAGATTGCACATAGAGGGCGAAGTACGTGATATTAAAAGATGAAGTGCGTAATATAAAAACATAAAGTAGATATTTGCAAAACGCAGATATGAGATAAGATGAAAGGAATAATTACACATTTATACCTCACATACAATGGATTGCCGAGCGACTGGTTTTTGATTGTTAATTTGTATATATATGAACCTAGCTGTGTTTGGAAACTGTAGACAGTTAGCTTGGGGGCCATTTAAGGTGTATTTTGCAGGTTAAAAATTGATTTGAATGCTGAACAGTCGTGGGAACTCTACGAGAAGTGTAGCGGTGAAAAGCTCGAAAATGCTCTTGCCAACTGCCTCATCCTCTTTCATGCAGTTTACGACGTCAGGTGCGTGTTACTTAGCACGTTTTTGCTGACATTATCGCATTTTTGCAATTGTTCAAGCCCAAAAGGCATTGAGCTCTATCTCCACCGTTCTTGAACGATCCTTCGAATCGTGACCTCTTACGATTCTGTTCTTCCCGCCTTAAAACTTTTGGGATTCAGCCGTACTGAATTTCCATTGGTTTGCACAGTCCCTTACTTTACAAAGTATATTTCGGCTTGTCTACGACCGCAAATTATCACTTCACAACACCGACATCCCTGTCAGCCTTACTTGGAGCGACCAGTTTTGGCTGGGCTTCTATGGCCCTTCATTTTTATTATGTGTTTCTTGCTGTGTAACAGCACTGCAAAACGCATATTGTCGTGGGGTTGTCTGTGTGTGTGTGTGTGTCCGCAGCAACTTGTA